GTGCTCACCCGTGCGGCCGTGTGCCCGTCCGGCGGGCCTGCGGGCGAAAGGCAGGCAGGGCCCGGGCCTGGACCGAGAGTCTCCGCAGGAATGACAGGCGCCCGGGCCGGGCCGGGGCGGGGCGGGCGCTTGGCGGTCGCGTCCCAACCAGCCCAGGCCTGTGTGTCTACGACGCGAGGTGAACACGGCACCCCAGAGGGAGCTTCTCGCCCACGACTTTGATGCTGGCTCCGGGCTAAAACGATAACATCTTAGATCTATTTTGGTTGGAAGTTGCTGAGATTTCGCCGTTGCGTTTGGCTTCGTTGATGTAGCTGCCGGGAGCGATTACGTCATAGATGCTGCTCCGGTTCTGTTTCCGTCGGACAGGGCTGCCCCGGGAGGCGCCCGCCTCCCCGCGCTCGCCCACTCTGGTGAGGGTCCTGCTCATCCCATTGTTTTGGTGGTTTGATTGGTGAGGGCCCTCCTCTGCCTTCTGGCGGGGGGCGCAGGCCGTATCAGAAGGGCCATTCGACCTCCGGGGGAGTGCGGGAGGGAAGCGTCTCCTCTCACCCCACGCCCCCCCAGCTGACCACTGGCTCTTCCAGGATGAGCGGAACGGGAGATCAAGGACAGAGCCTCCCTCGTATAGGGTTTCACCCCTGTCAGTACGAAGAAGGGCTGATACACTGAGCCCTAAGCTGGCAAGCAAGACAGGGAATTCGATAGCAGGTCCGGTCGTGTTATGGGAAGGAAACATTGCAGGCAAACAAATCTGAGTTTGGTTTCACGTTCTGCCATCACCGGTGCTTGACTTAATCTCCATGAGCCTCGGTTTCTTCCGTCATAAATGGATACACGGGGCTGTGTTGAAGGGAACTAATAAAGATAAGCACAGTCCCCATACATATAGCATTCATTACGTTCTGAGCGTTGTTCTAAGTGCTTTACATACACTCGTTTAATCTCCATAATAACCCTGTGACGTCGGCATCATTATTATTGCTCCAGAAAAAACACGGGACGTGGAGAAGACAAATGACTCGCCCACGGCCACACAGCTAATGTGACTCGAACCCGGGCAGTGATCGCCATCACTCTCCTTCGCAGCATACATATCAATGAAGTGCTCAGTACGGTGTGCGAGACATTCAATAAATGTGGACTTCCTTCCCACCTCTCCCCTTCCCAAAGAGCTGCCCAAACTACAGGGTGAAGTCTGAGTGGCAACACGTTCCATATTCGCGCTGCCTTCCTCGGGCAGTTAAGACACTCAGGATCAGGATGAAGGCGAGTGGTGACATGAAGCCCAGTGCTCTGAGTGACAGCCACTTCCTGGCTAAGGCCTGGCCGTGAGTCCCCATTCAGCTGCAAGCAGGCGCCGGTCCAGCCACCGACCGCTTCCTGTGTCAGTCGCCTCACCCTTGTTCTAGCTGCCAAACCCTCATATGCTGGGGCTTTAGAAGACAAAAAGGGAAATGGGCGGTAGATAGTTGAGCCTGGGGAGAGTCCTCTGAGACAGCTGTTCTGAAAACTACACAGCCTCAGTGCTTTCCAAATGGTGCAATGCGCTTTCAGTGCCACTGTGCTGCCATGAGAATACCAACCTGTAAGTTACACTTTAGAAATGACAGTTGTTCCACTCTCGCTTCCGTGTGGTTTCCCTTCTCCAGAGGCCCTCTGTCCTCGACTCAAAGGTCTGTTGGCCTTTCTTGGCCTGTGTCCTTGAGAATAAAATATAAGTAAATTTTTATCTTCAAAATTTCATAATTGCTATTACAATGTTTGTGAAACAATAGCAAAAAAAAATTAAAAGCAAAATATCAGTGGTACACTTAAGCAGAAATAGAACTAAGGAAGCTAAAACATAAAGGGAAGAAGGAAAGGAATCGTCTGGTAGCACTTTTCTTGATGTTTCTTCGCTTAAAGTTTCCACTGGCGAAACACAAATCTACCTATTTCTGACATCCAGACTATAACCTACTTGTGGTGCAGTAGTGCTGAGTATTTTTGTTTCCCAGGTGACCCAAAGTTGTGGTCTCCAGCATAACCCAATTCCAGCAAACGCCCAAATGCCAAAAAGTGTTCTATTTTTCTCACTGACAAATGCTCTTTTAAACTAAAGAGGGGTGTTTATCTTAGGCATTAACTGAAAATAAGAACGAAGAAACCAGAAGGGTATCAATCTTGGGTCTAATACCAAAGAATGTTCCAAGTAAAAATATTTTCATTCTAAACATATCTTTACCCAGAATCCACAATGTTCAATGAGAGAGAGAATTGTGTTAGCTAAGGCTCACCCAAGAAACAAGACCAATAGGATATGTATAGAGAGAGAGACTTATTTTAAGGTACTGAGGGCCGACAAGTCCAAAACTCTGGAGAGAAGGTCAACAGGCTAGACCAGGGGAGGAGCTGATGTTGCAGTCTCAAGTCCAAAGTCAGAACTGCTTCCTCAGAGCACCACAGCCTTTTCTTTCAAGACCTTCAGCTGACTGAGTGATGCCCTTCCACATTACAGAGGGCAATTTGGTTTACTCAAAGTCTACTGACTTAAATGCTAATCATATGTTTAAAAAGAAAAAAAAAACAAAAAACACCTTCACAGACATTTCTAGACTGGTATTTGACCAAAACTGGGTACCATAGCCTAGCCAAGCTGACACAAAATCATCACAAGCATGTTTTCAATCAAGTCCAGATATTTGTATGACTCTCTTCTAAAGTGTTATTCCTTTGAATACCAATCTCCTAGGCTTATGCTGTGTTTAACTAATGCTAACTAACCCAGTAGGTCATAAATTTGAGACTTTAGAAAAATAATGATGGGTTGGTATTTAAGTGTGTCATGGATGGTAGGATCTTTAGACTAGGATCAAGAACCTTCTTTGTTTCTGTTAAGCTGACAAAATCAACAAGTGTTGTTAATTTATTCCAGCTAGCACTTTACTGACTACATCCCTATCACTCTTCCAGGAATTCTCAATTCTTTTTCTTTGGGTGGGGGTGGTGATGGTCCCCTTTGAGAAGTTCATGAAAACCATAGAATAGACTTTCTCCCCAGAAAATATGCCCAAACAGAAACGCACACACGACATTTATCATCCTATTTCATGTATGGACTCCAGGTTCAGAATTCCTTAGAAAATGTTTCCTGATCATCCACACAGCAGGCACAGAGTGTCAGGGATGAACCTTAAAAGTTCACAGTTCCGAGGGACCAGCAAGAACATGGGTGCTTTCAACAGAGAGGCCAAACTAGGAGGACAAGTTGGGGAGCGCACTGAAGGAGTATCTAACTCAAGCCTGAAAGAGGAGTCTGAGACATATGGTTCCCGGTTAGTCCTGCCTGGTCTTTCAGGTAGAGGAAACTGAAGGGCAATAGAAAGCGTGGATTTCTAGAGAAAATAGTTTTCAGGGTGGCTTAAGGATAACATGGGAGATGGGAGGAATCTGAAGGAGAACAATGAACCGATGCAGAAGGACGAGTATGCCTTAGACTGGGGTCACACATTTTTTCCTGTAAAGGACAAATAGTAACGGTTAAGGCTTTGCAAGCCATCTGGTCACTGTGGCAACGCCTTAGCTTGGCCATTGTGACACAAAAGAGACTGTAGACAATATGTAAGTGAATGAGTAGAGATGTGTTACAGTAAAAATTTATAAACACAGAAATTTGATGTTGATATCTTTTTTTTTTTTTTTTTTTTTTTT